GTGCATAGATATATGAATATACACATACATACAAATACACGCAGACACTCTTCATATTTTACCTTCTGAGAAAGTGATCTAATTTTGACTTTAGAGTAGTGGGCAGTGTAGCGACTGCAAATTCCTGTTCAATTAAGATACCCACTATGGAACACACTCAGCATCGGTGAACATGATTCATGTAAACTTTCGCGTATGGATGCATTCAAGAAATCTTCATTGAATAGCCTTGTTAGCCCATCTTTTGAGTGTTGAAAGCCATTCACACGCAACCATTTTGCCCAAATGTGCCTTTAATGAGTCCAGCCCTTGGGAAGTCAGATTGATCGAAAAACACACACCACTTTTTATCTAAACCCACTGAATTGCCTACAAAACATGTGACAGCATGTGTTTTAGCTCCATGCTGGGCTCTTTGTGGTGGGTGGTTGACGCAAACCTCGTGTGCTCAATATGTATGATCACATGCTCTGGCCTATTTTTATTCCTCATCTCTCCCACCCCCATCTCCTCTTCAGTCTGTGCATGTCGCCTGTTCCTACCCTGTTGATATTTGCTTCTTTTGCCACATAAGCAGGAAATATCGGGGGCATTCACCACGCTGCGGGTGTTCCGCGTCTTTCGGGTCTTCAAATTCAGCCGCCATAGCCAGGGCCTTCGTATCCTAGGCTACACACTCAAGTCGTGCGCCTCAGAGCTCGGCTTTCTCTTGTTCAGCCTCACCATGGCCATCATTATTTTCGCCACCGTCATGTACTATGCGGAAAAGTCCGTGTCAGAGACAACCTTTTCCAGCATTCCTTCCGCTTTCTGGTATACAATCGTCACGATGACAACGCTCGGGTGAGTCTCGGGAGTGCATTCAACAAATTATTCTAGTTTTTAAGCAATTTCGACACAATTTATTGCGGTTCCAAACATGAAATTGTATAATAGACTGTAAAACTAACGTAAAAAACCTTGTCAGAATGGTAGTTCCCTTTCCAGAACCGTGAGTAATATGATTTTAAAGAGTCATTTAATAATAGCTTTATTGGAAGTAAATCTTGTCAAAATGAGATATGTGAGCTTCGCGATTCAATTTAAATTCACTATCAATCTTTCATCATCTCAAGTCATCTGTTCAATATCTATTTATAGTCTTGAATTAGGACTAAGAGCTACTAAGATTTATGTTCTAAAAGAGCAGAATTAACTAATTTACGTTGTCTACATCTAATGTCTAACTCAAATGCCCCCACTGTCCTTGGTAGATCTGTCAAAATCCGGCCACGTCTCCCACTTTGGGTTTTTATGCATGCCACCATTAATTTTTGCGTCAGATACTCCATCCTTTTCACTTGCGAGTAAATTGTCCTCTCGTGTAAAGGGTAATGTCATTATTGGCTACCAGTCACCGAAGTCCCATAAATGGCCAAACCGGATTTGTGTACCATTTTATGAAGAATCGGTTGCCTGTTGACGCTTTCTGTCACGGAAGTAAAGAGGAAATCTCATCATATTTGAATCGGGTTGACTGGATGGTGTGCTGGGAATCTATTCGCTCAGATCAACAGTCCAAACTGCGTGCCATTCTGTCCTCGGTTCCGGCTAAATTTAGTCCACTAATGCTCTTAGACGATATCGTTAAATGAAAGCAACGTGCACAAGACATCAAATTGTTGAAATATTT